GGAGGGGTTGCAGAAACCAGGGGGGTTGAACCCAAGGAAAGAGAGCTTGAACAGTTGAGAAAACTCCGGTGGCAGCAGCCATTGCCCCCTTTGTTTGGAGAAGAGTTGCAAGCGTCTCAGTGGCAGCTTTGGTTCCAATCACCGAAAGAGCAGCGCCACGTCGACTGCTTCAATGAAGAACAACAATGTCACAGACCTAGCAGAGGAAATCGATGGCAGAAAGCAACCCTTAACTCATGGATCTGTTCGTGTAGCTTTTGATGCCGCCACATCTCAAGCGAAGCCTCTTAATTGGAGAAATTGACGCACAACATCCAGCAACATCCTGTGCCTGTCCCGAATGCCCACTTGCCCGGCCTAAGATCTCTTCCACGTCCGGGGGCACATCAATGGAGTTAATGATGTCCACTTGGTCGGACCATTGGCCCAGAAAGGTCACTTGCCCAGTTCGGAGCTTCACTGTGCTGGTGGACCCCTGCGGCAACAGCCAAACTTCGTCCAGCGCCGCAAAGACGCTGTCCTTGGCAAGAACACAGTTGGTCTGATCTGCGTGTTTCGTCTTTCGCAGGTCAGCCAAATGCCAAATGCCCCCAATTCGGCAGGCAGGCAGGCAGGCAGGCAGGCAGGCAGGCAGGCAGGCAGGCAGGCAGGCAGGCAGGCAGGCAGGCAGGCAGGCAGGCAGGCAGGCAGGCAGGGCAGGCAGGCAGGCAGGCAGGCAGGCAGGCAGGCAGGCAGGCAGGCAGGCAGGCAGGCAGGCAGGCAGGCAGGCAGGCAGGCAGGCAGGCAGGCAGGCAGGCAGGCAGGCAGGCAGGCAGGCAGGCAGGCAGGCAAAAAGGCAAAAAGGCAAAAAGGCAAAAAGGCAGGCAAAAAGGCAATGCGCAAGACAAGGCTCAAGGCAGGGCGCGGCAGGGCGCAAGGGCCGCCTGTTGGCCAAACCAGGCAGCTAATGTGCGATCGGCATCACTCAAAACCTGTGGCCAAACAAAGCTAAGCAACCAATCCGTCTGTCTCCCAACGCACGCCGCTGCTAAGGCTAGCCAGGTGTCCGTCTCAAGATCCAAAGAGCATCATAGGGCATGGGACTCATACAAAAACCATGGAGTTTCGTCAACTGGCGGCCTGCTTCCACTAACGCAACCACTGGTAGGTCAAATACTGTCACTAGCTTTGGTCCCAAAAAATGGCCAAACGGCGCCCCCATTTCGCAGCGCTCCCTGGCGAGGCTCCACAGTCCCCGAGCTGCCGTCCTCACAGGACACCACCATGCCGCGCTCCAGCGCGAGCGGCACCTGAGGCAATGCCCTGGAGCTTGTGCAGCCACCCACCCAAAACCTGTGGGCCCACCCACGTGGCAGCCGCGAGTGAGAAATGCGGAACTGCTATCTCGCCAAAGTGGGGCGTAGAGCCGGGGTCGGCCAGCGCGGAAACAAGTGGCTCCGGCCACAACGTCGGCCCCAAGAACATGGAACCAAGAAGAATGACGTGAGTTAAGCAGCCCTCCCCCCAACATAAGGCTTCAGCCCTCCAACTTTCTCACAACACCTCGCGCGCGAGCATTCTCCTGACATAGGCGCCCTGATAACTTGTGCCTTTTTGGCAAAATGGAGATCCAATTTCGCCTGAGCTTGTTGTCAACTGAATGTGGCCTTTTCTCCCCAACCTGGGCCATTGGAAGCAGCCCATCTCAAAGGTCGGTCTCGAGCTTCGTCCGTGGGCGAAACCGCTGCAAGTGCACATGTCATGTTTACTGATCGCATTGCATCTGGACTGGCACCTCTTCCGGAACCTAAGGCGCGAAAAACTGGCTGCTGGAACGGTCTGTTTCCTGATGTCTTCCAAGCTAAAACACTCAAGTCTGCCCAAGATCCCCCTTACGCGGTTTCACGTGTGGAAAACGAATGGGACCTCAAGAGGTCGCAACTATGCGTGGCGGTCGTCTTCCCTCCATTTCTCTCCAGGCAAAAAGGCCTCATCTTGGTCGCCCCTTCACGAGGGTCCCCTTGTCCGAGCATAAGCCCGTCACTTCACGCCATGGGCAAGCCCCCGCCTGCGTCTTCCGCGCTTTGGCCACCGCATTTGGAGCACCCGGACCGCCCGGACCGCCCGCACCAGGCGGACCCGCGCCCCTTCGCCGGGGGGGCGGCACCACCTGTGCAGGGCGAACCCTATGTTGGGGCCAGCTATGGACCAGTGGACCTGACAAACACATCTCGCCTCCTGATGGCGCTCTTGCACCTATACACGAATCATGACTCTCACCGGAGCCCATCGGACACGCCGAATCAGATGCTTCAGCGAGAAACCTATGACCTGTGTCTTTTCCGTCCTGCGCACCAACTCCCCCCCAAATCGCCTTGGGCGTGCGCGACTTTGCCGCCGGCGTCGTCGCCGGCGCCGCTGTTGGCACCACTTTTGGCGCCACCAAAGGCGCCGGCGCCGCGAGGAAGGCCCGAGGCACTCGCGCCATGGCTAAGTCACATGGCCGCGGCACGTCGAGCTCTGACCGGAAAACTGATCTTTGGTCGCTTTTGCGGGGACGCCTCTTGGCATGGCTGCTGAAAACGCTCGTGGAGGTAGGCAGCCTGGCTGACGCCAAGAATTCGCATGGCTGCTGAAAAGGCTCGTGGAGGTAGGCAGCCTGGCTGAAGAGCTGTCAATCAGGAACTTTGGGTCGTGCATCGGCCCTGCCGGGTAATCAAACAACGGCCCCAAATCCTCTCAGGCGGTTTGATGACACAGGAAGCGGGGGTACTGCTTGCTTTTGGCTAGGGGTTAGTCTCAGACTTTGGAACCCTTTTTTTGGACGGTGTTTAGAGGGAAAACGAAGAACATCGACCACCTGGGGCGCTGCATGTTGAGAAGTTCCCCATGGAGTGAAGCTTGGTGTGCCCCTGTCTGCCCACGGGCCGCTGGGCCGGGCAGGCTGGCGGCTAAGTGAAGCGCGCATGACTACCCTTTGGTGCACTCTGGTTCACCCACTTCACGATGGGTACTCCTCTTAGGGGACAGGGGTGCGAGCAAACACCCCTAAACTGATGCCGGTAAACAAACCACAAACTGTGGCGAGCCGCGACTCGTTCCCCCTAGAAAAGAGGGCAAAAGGTATCCCGCTCCCGGCTTGGCACGGCAAGTTGCCGAAAGTCCTAGAGTTCCTGGGGTGCAATCCTCTGATTCAAAAGCTTTCTCCACGGACCCGACTTTCCGACATTCATGCTGCCCAGCAATACTTGGGGAAAGAAGCGACAGCCAACACCAAAGCCCAAAGCCAGCCAGTATGGCGGCCACAAAAAGATCAGCATGCCTTGGGGGAACTCTATGTTCAACAATAGCGCCCTCGTGCACACATGCGCGGCATATGAAATCAGACACCTGCTGTCCTGGCCAGTTATCCGACTATTTGTTTTGAAACCTCTAGGGGCCATGAGGGAAAGAAGAAGGTCATTCTTTATTCAGCAGTGGAGTTCACAGGGAGACCCCCCCTCCAAAAAGGAGTTGATTTGGTAGTTGGTTCAAAAAGACCTCGCCACCTGAGGTAGAAGCCGACGCATGACGACATCAAGTCGGCCGCGCAGTCTGGCGAGAACATTGACTTGGCTCCCAAATCTGGGGCACACAGAGAATGACACTTTCCAGATACCCTTCCACCAATTCACATGGATCCTGACAGGGACCCGGTCCATGTCGAAAGGAAAATGGTCTTCCAGGACCCCCCGAGCGTCGAACGGTGGTCCCACAAATGTCTTCCAGGAGCCAGTCGTCAGGTTCCATGTTAAGTGGTGGGAGGAGACCGCTTCATAGCCCTAAGACGGCCAACAAAATGGTTTGGAGGAGCTGAACCAAGGCGCCGAGAGCTCGATCTCCCCGGCGCGGTCGGTGGCCACCAAGCGCCGCCAGGCCTGGCGAGCGATGCTCTCGAAGCAATTCGCGGGGTGTCAAAGTTGGGAGGACCCCAGACTTTGACTTCCTCACAGTCCCTTCGAAAGAGCCCATGGAGCCACACGGAACCCCAAATGAACCTGCGGAAGCAAGCGATATATATCTATATATGTATACATACATGAATACATCTATATAGATACTTACATACATATATACATCTATATATAGATATAAACAGATATATAATGTACTCATCTATGATTGTTTGTGAGCCCGAATTGGCGGGGCCAACATGTCGTCCGCCGGTGTCAAAGAAATGCCGCTAGTGGGTGCAGGGGGTTTTGTCTCAACTTTGGGCCAGCCGAAATATTGCGCCATCTCCCAATTGAAAAGGCCAACTGCAAAAAGAAAGCCTTAAAGAATTAAACATGTCTCAAACAAAGACAGGGCAGGTGGAAACACTGGCACAAAGTCAAACGAACACGCCCGATACCAAGCACCTCAAACCCTAGGCCAACTTGACCTTAATGCATGTCGGCGTGTCGTGCCAGCACCGGTCTATGTGGCAAGCCGCAGAGGGAGCGAGCGCAGGTGGCAAGTGCTCCTCACCTGCAGCTGGCCACGACTAGCCGTTGGAAGAAGCACTGCGCGAGGAGTTGAGCAAAGCGTAAAGCCATGAAGCCATGAAGCGCATAGCAAGTTCATGATTGGCATCCTAGCTACCAGTTAGAATGCACCCGGCTGTCAAAGGATATGTCCACCATGTGTGGATGTGTGAAATCTTGGATTCAAGTGTTCTCTGCTCATTCAATGCCGAGTTGTGCAAATGAATGTGAACGTTGCCAATGTTTAGACAACGTGGGAAGATATGGCATTTGCCATGCGCAAAGCCCCAGCTTGAGCCTAGGAAAGCCCAGAAAGCCCACAACCCAAAAGGGCAAGGCGGGCCCAAGGTTTGCAAGAACCGCGTTGCGCCAAGGACTCTGGCGCGGTGGATATGTGGCCCTGCGAAAAGGGGCACCCTTGACCGGACTCGTCAGGTTGCGTGCTGGCTGTTCAGGGGAAGCAACCGTCAGGTTGCGTGCTAGCTTCAGGGGAAGTAAACGATCTGAACGGAGAATATCCTTACGGGAGTGTGGGCCGTATGGGTGGTTGATGATCCCTATGTCAGGCTTGCAGATTGGGGGTTACGTCCCCCCTATGGGCCTTGTGGTCATCCTAACGAGGGGGCAAGCTGCGGGCCAGGGCAACGTGGCCACGGGTTGAGCCAGGGAAAGTCAAAGCTCTCATACCACCTATCCTATGTACAATCGGCAGTGGAACAAAGCAGTGCTGGCATGAAGGCGGACTGTGGATTACCCCTGAAGTACAAAAAGGTCCGTGACTTCTGCGTTGCCCAACGGATCACAAACCTGTACAAAGCAAGAAAAATGAATATGGCCTCCCATATCCCAAAGTGATCTTGATCTTCGTGGAGAAGATACAGGGAGCGGGCATGAACCCCACACAAAACATCGATGGCCCTCCCCCTTGTGCAGGCGCAGGCGCTGGCGAATGCTTGCTGGACCCGCGGCGACCTCCTCCAAGCGTGCAAACATCCTGCCAAGCGCTCGCTGAGGCCGCTGCCCGACGAGTGCCCCCGGAAATCAGAGGCTCTGGCCAGCAAAAGGCCCCGCTCGGAACATGACAGTCACCAGCCAACCCGGCCAACACGACAGAAACCACTTCTGCCGGGTTTGAAGCCGATCAAGCTACAAGCTAAGCCACTGTGCTGATGTTGGATTGCTGAATGCCGCTCTTGCAGTTGTGTGAAAGTAGATGGCACACTTCTGGCATTGTGCTTGAGTCACCGCATTAAATTACCCAACAGGAGGAAATTGTAGCATCTATACCCTGATTTATTCAGGAAAGGCGCCTAGGTGAGCCTGATGTCTTTGACACCTTCAGCTGGAAGGAATTGCACGAGATTGCCGCAAGGTGCACCGTGGAGGCCTGTGCTCACCAACTCAACTCGCCACTTGTCGACAGAAGGCTTGCTGACTGGGCCCAGCACCTGGATACATGGAGCCTGAGGCCTGAGGGCCTAAGCTTTGCTACAGTCGGCAGGCTGGGCACGGAGACATGAAGAAGCCCGTTTCACATCGGCCCTGCAATTGCAGCGACACGGAATGCCAGAAGGCATTCACGACGGACACCGCTTCATAAGAGGCGCGTTTGCGCTGGCGGCACCGGGTGCTTTGTCTGAAGGGCATATGCAAGGCATAAACTGCAAGTGCCCGCGAACCAACAATCACGGAAGCGGACAGGGGTTTGGAAGACTACCATCCTCCAAAAAGGCGCCCTTGTCCACTACCTCCTAATCCTCCCCCCAACAAAAAATGAAGCAACCAGCCAGCAGCACTCTGCAGCTGCCGCTCTTCCCAAAGCCTCGGGACAAGCTCGCGCTTGCGAGCGCACAAAGGGTCAGGCCATGGAAATGATTTGCTTGGAACCTTCAGTAGACATCATTTGCATAGGGATGCATGTCCACCCACATTAGCCATATGGGAAGGACTGCAGAAATTTGCAAGCACCCTCTGGTCAGCGGGTTTTTGCACCCATGAAGCTTGACTGGTGGAAAACCGACCAAACTCAAACCCACAGGCTGCAAACAAGAAGGGGAGAGGAGAGGGCAGTTGGGGAAATAAGTCTTGGCAGCTTCAAATCCAAAGAGTTGGCGGCTCTTAGTTTTGACCGCTGTGGGGGGCCAACATAAGTTAGGGCCCGCGTGTTGATTCAACTTGGGCGCGAGGCTAGAGGCATCCGGGATTTCAGTCCAGGCCCTACTTGGGGCAGGGCGTTCGCCGCAGCGGCGACCGAGCAGAGAAGAGACCTGCGTGCAGCTCCCCGGTTCCAACAGAAAAACGGATCCGCCAAACATAGGGCAGATCCTAGTATACATGGAACAGGGGGGTTGCGGATACGGGTTCACCTACGACGACCAGTTTTGATTTGCCACAATTGCCCACCCGAATTTGGCAATGTCTACCCTGGGCCTGGAAATGCTCGAGACTCAATGGTAAAGTTCTCCTGTCTGGGATGGGCTGAGGGCAACTTTAGGCAGCAACTGGATCAACAGCCCACGGCTACAGCATGTCAACCCAACACGCAAACTGAAATCCAAGGTTTTAGACTTCAGAGGCTGCCAGGCGTGCATCACCAGTCTCTCAATGTAGAAAGGTTGGCAGCTGCTAATAAGGTGATGCAGTCGACAGATGAACACGTGAACAAGATGCACATGGCAAATGTGTGAATGTGCGTGTGAGTGTGCCTGTCGTTTGTGCCTGTGATCGCCTTCCAAAACTAACTTCTCACATTGCTCCAGAAGTGGGCGCTCCCAGAAGGCTGCTGAGGGCACTAGGCCCCGCACAGGTGGATGGGACGGCGTTAAAGAGGAACAGTCAAAATCAGGGTAGAGGGAAGCTGCAGGATGCCCACCAGCTTTATCCTCAGTCCAGCACATCCTAGCCCTAGGCGCGGGTGCCCTTTCAAGCTGCTGCGAACTCTGCTTAGAAAAAGCTCAGGGTTGAAGAGATGGCGAAATGGGTAGAGCACAGCATCCGCCCCTGGCCCCCCTGGCCC